AGGGGTAATAGAACCAAAAACACTGGAAGACAGGGTAGGATGATACCTAAAGGGAGAAACGAACTAGACAATCTACAATAACAGAAAACTAATGATGAGAAAAGTAACTAAGGGAAACCTGGAGAGAACCTGGAGGGGGGCTGGGGAACCACAGGGAGGCTCGTGAGGGGGAATGCAGACAAGGAGACACATAAGGGGAACCTAGAGAGGGTTGGAGAACACAAGGAGACACATAAGGGGAACCTAGAGAGGGTTGGAGAACACAAGGAGACACATAAGGGGAACCTAGAGAGGGATGGAGAACACAAGGAGACACATGAGGGGAACCTAGAGAGGGTTGGAGAACACAAGGAGACACATAAGGGGAACCTAGAGAGGGATGGAGAACACAAGGAGACACATGAGGGGAACCTAGAGAGGGTTGGAGAACACAAGGAGACACATAAGGGGAACCTAGAGAGGGTTGGAGAACACAAGGAGATGCATGAGGGGAACCTAGAGAGGGATGGAGAACACAAGGAGACACATAAGGGGAACCTAGAGAGGGTTGGAGAACACAAGGAGATGCATGAGGGGAACCTAGAGAGGGATGGAGAACACAAGGAGACACATAAGGGGAACCTAGAGAGGGTTGGAGAACACAAGGAGACACATAAGGGGAACCTAGAGAGGGATGGAGAACACAAGGAGACACATGAGGGGAACCTAGAGAGGGATGGAGAACACAAGGAGACACAGAAGGGGAACCTAGAGAGGGTTGGAGAACACAAGGAGACACAGAAGGGGAACCTAGAGAGGGATGGAGAACACAAGGAGACACATAAGGGGAACCTAGAGAGGGATGGGGAACACAAGGAGACACATGAGGGGAACCTAGAGAGGGATGGAGAACACAAGGAGACACATGAGGGGAACCTAGAGAGGGATGGAGAACACAAGGAGACACATGAGGGGAACCTAGAGAGGGATGGAGAACACAAGGAGACACATGAGGGGAACCTAGAGAGGGATGGAGAACACAAGGAGACACATAAGGGGAACCTAGAGAGGGATGGAGAACACAAGGAGACACATGAGAGGAACCTAGAGAGGGATGGAGAACACAAGGAGACACATGAGGGAGACGCAGAATGCAGACCATGACAGTATCCTTCCACTTTATGGCTCTATCCATGATACTTACCACACCTGAGGTAAACAGACCCAGGTCGTTTATGAGACTAGGAAGACTGTGTGTTATAAGACCTGTCTTATTTCCTCCTGGAGAATGGTGTTTCCTCACATCCTGGTGTCCACGCGTCAGGCTGAGGGTGATTATTATTGGGTTTACTGTCACAGAGGAGAAGCGGCGTGTTTGCTCAGCTCTCTGTTTCTCTGTGCAAACAGTCATAAGATCCAGGCTGATTTGGCTTCTCTCCAGCACCAGACAGCTACTAGAGTTCAGTGAACTTAGCTCTCAGCCTGCAGGGCCGGCTGCCGTTAGTCATCGTCACACGGGTCCAAGAGAAGTGAAACGGCAAACATTCGCTCTCAGCAGTGGGGTTAATGCAGGTCACCGTGGGTTTGATCCACTCCCGTCTCTGCACAACTCTTCAGTTCATACATGAAACATCTTTACATCCTTTGAAAAGCTATCTGTACCCCTGTACTTGTACCCCTAAGAAGTCACGGCATCGTTTTGATTTACCCATCTGGTGAAGAAGGCTAGAGGTTAATTATATTAATGATTAATTAGAAGCCAATAATCAGCTCTAATTATCTCCCTTCTTAGTGTAACGGTCGCTATTAGCTACATATTACACTTCACAGACGCTATAATGCATCCGGTGGGAATCAGTGTGCTGATGGATCTGTTTGTTTCTTTCTCCTGGTGCTGCTGAGTCTGAGCGGACTTCACACACACACACACACACACACACACACACACACACACACACACACACACACACACACACACACACACACACACACACACACACACACACACACACACACACACACACAAACATTTGTTTTGTTACTTCACACATCCACTCTGCACCTACAGCTTTAGTATTCCTGAATAAACCAGTAGAGAGGAACTGGGATGGCCGGATTGTCGTCATGGTTTCCTGAAGCCTCGTAGAAGATCTCCTTCTGCCTGTGCTGGAGCGGTGGTATCAAGAACATCAGCTGCTGTAAATCAGGTGCAGGAACTAGATTCTGGTTTTGGCATCAGCTGTTCGTCTGATGAGTTCATCCATCAAACCATGACTTTGCTGTTACAGTAAAACCAGTAGAATCCACTATGGTGTGTGTGTGTGGGGGGGGGGGGGGGGGGGGGGGGTTCAGACCAGACAGTTTGCTGAGGTCAGGAGGTGTAGAGCTGACGTAGGCTGTTGGTGCTGGTCCAGACATTTCTGTTGGCAAAGCTTTTTACTGTGGGTGGATGTCGAGTTAGGAGCAGCAGGCTAGAGGCTCTCCAGCCAATCAAACACGCTCAAAGCATTCCTCTAAAGACCAACTTCACCATTTTTCTCAACACATCTGCAGTGGTCTCTATTGTAAATGAATGCCTTGTGAGTCGATCTCTGCTGGGGGGGGGGGGGGGGGTAATTAGGGTTAAGGAAAGGAGCCAGACGAGAGGTTACTTTCATTCTCGCTGAAATGCTTTTATCACCCAAGACACTTTTTTTGTTTACTCTTCCTTTTATGTGAAGGAAAGCTTAAAGCAGCATGGTTTTTTCTACTATGCTGGAGAAATGATGAAATATTACTGACTTCGTGGCTTTATTCAATCTCATTTTTAGAGATGCTGTAATCAGAAATCCTCGCTTCATCGACTAGCCTGACAAGCCATCCTATATATGTGGATATATAGTCTGGCCATGACCCATAGACAGGGCGGGATTCAAACGGTCTCTGCATGCTATTGGACCACGAACAACACTACAAATGGGAGTTAACGGAGAAGTCCTCCATGCACTGTTGAGGAAGATGCAAATACATCCTTTAAAGGGTAGGGTGGGTTTAGATGATGATGTCATGGTTGATCTGATCAGCTGCCACACATCACATGACCTAAACACTCCTAGCTAGCAACACGTCTAATTGTAACTCATTTTCTGTCCAACTCAAAGTCAAAGTCATTTATTGTCATTTTCTACTACATGTGCAGGACATACAGAGAAATGAAATTCGGTTTCAGCACACACAATTCAAAGATCAGACATACGTGGGTAAGACACATAACAAGAATTGGTGACTGCGGTCATTCGCAACATGAGTCGCGCTACCTTAATAGTTAGATGAAAAGGGTGTTACATGAGGGAAGTTCAGGGAGGGAGAAAAAAGGCATTAACAGGGTTACACCAGCAGGGTGTAGCACTCCAATGCAAAAAACACCCGACATGTAAGCAACAAACGTCACGGTTCACAACATGAGACCCGGTAGGTAGGGGGGAGGGGCTGGGATCCTGGTTCCTCAGCGGGGGCGGCCTGTGTGGCGCTCAACCAGCTGGCTCCGCAGGTGGGAGGGAGGTCATGGGGAAGCACAGAGAGCAGTGAGTCCTTTAGCTTGATGACCTCGGTGGAGACCTCAATCTGAAAAAAAAAGGTGACCAACTGAGAGACGTTTCGGTGTTTGTTAATGACTCACTGATCATGTTTCACTTCTCATCTGAGGACTTTTCCAACACGACGCTCTGTCCAGTTGTCTTAGTTCGATTTCTGTGACCTCAACCGTCCAACACCGCAGTTCCTCCCTCAGGGTTGCGGGGAGGTTGTTAAAGATCAAAGGTTTACTGCGTTTTATTGTGCTGACTGTTGGTCTGGAAAATGATTTCAAATAAAAGCAAATAAATGTTGATTGCGTTTTGATGGCCCCTCCTAAAACATGTTGAATAAAAGCAGGGTATGTGTGAGCCCGTGGGCTCGGGGGCCCGTCACAGTTCGGTTCATTTTCAGTACGGGGGGGGGGGGGGGTTTTTTCTTTGGTGTTAGCAGGTCCGGGCTGTAATCATTCAAAATAAAACTGTACTTGCATGAAATTCTCCTACAAAATATTCTCAGATAGCATAAAATGTATAAAATAAAAATAATTTCTTTTTAAAGGTATTTTCTGTTTTAGAAACTGCATCTTTGATACTTTGGCTTTCTCAGCTGCAACTGAAAGAACCGGCTAAACTTTAGAAGATCAGAAGCGTCCTCTATCTTTAGGAAATGAGCTCTGCTGTTTACGTTCATCTAGCCCCCGTGGTTTTGATGGAAATGTTCATTTCTCGTGTGATCTCGCTGGATTTCTCATCTGACAACACGTTTGTGTGGGAAATGGGCTCATGTGACCACGCACAGTAGGACCAAACCGGTGTCACCGTGATTTTCTATCTCCGCCTGTGTCGTCTCTCAGGTTTTGAAAACATTTTAGAAATTGCAACATACATGAAAAAAGGCTGCAGCTGGGATTTGAACCTGCAACATTCTTACTGTGGGTTACTATTAGCCCCCATTTTTTCTGGTAATCAGTCACTCTGAGATTTTTCATGCAGGCTGAACATGAAAATAGTCTCCTACATCTATCTCCTGCATTAGCTTCTGATAGAAAACAGGCGGTGAACCTCCAGGATTAGAAACATCTGACAGATCTACGTCACACTGTCTCTTCACATTCATGGACTCACCCATCTTGACTTGGGAAGGCTGTTGTTGGACGTGTTGTTGTTGCAGCGGACGTCTTGGCTAGTTTAAGCTAACCGTTAGCATGAGCTCTTTCACCACACAGCAGAACTCTTCCAGGCTTGTGTGTTAATTAGTTTGTGGAAATAAAAAAAATCCCCGTTTGTTTCAAGTCAGTGGTAGAATCATGTTGCGGTTATGCAATCTGGGGCGAGATGTCCAAATATCAGTAAATAAGACTCCAAAACCTGCCGTTGAAGCTCAGCTGTGATCTGGGTAACTTTTTGAACCTAGAACCCGACCAACCCCTCCACGAAGATCTCAAACTCTTCTCTCTCTGGTTGCAGCATCAAGATACTGGCAGTTCAGGACCTTCTGGATCGGGAAGCACTGGAGAAGGTACAGTAGACACACACATTTACTAGTCTCACAGGGAAGGATGTGGGGATGAAGGTCAGTGTTCATCAGATCCAGTTATCCTCTGAATGTTCACAGAGAGCTATCTATAGCAGGCACCCGGAAACACACTCGGCTCAGATATGATGAACCTGTCTACCAGCAGAATGAGAGAGATGGACCTTTGCAGGCTGCTCAGTAGAGGAGACCAGACAGTGGACCTCCAGAGTCGTCCACTATGTCTCGATTTTTGCGCTTCAAGTACTTTGGATCATTTCGGGTAGAATATTTTGGGCCCGTTGAAAAGTTTACTGCGTGCTGCTGAGGAGCACTGGAGGGGCGGGGCCGCTGCGGACACCTGCTGAGGCTGAGTGACAGCGGAGGAGTTTACAGGGACAGAGAGAGAGAGCTTTGGAGAGACCTAGAGGTACTGCAGTCACACTTTTAGCCAAAACTCTGCTGCGTGATTCGGTAAACAAAAATGTAGGACCCTCGACAGCTTTAGTGGTTGGGGATCTGTCACGTGAGGGGGGGTTATGCTAAAACAGCTGATTTAGGCCTGGACCTCCTGAAACCCATCTCTGACATAACACGTTTGTGTTTATAGAAGCAGTCAAGACCCACATAGCAGCACAGTAGGATGCAAACGGTGAATTGTGCATAAAATATCAACTTTACCAAGTTAATGTGACGTTCAGCATGAGGTCATGAGCTGTAGCAGCTAGCATGAACATGGATCTGGCTCCCGTCTCACTGAGAGAATCTGTTAAATCAGAGAGACGAAAATGTTGTGAGCTAAAACGCGGCGTCCTCTTCGGCATCGGTAAAGCCAGTTTGAGTGCAGGCGGCTAAATGTAACCTTGGCAGAGAAATGAGAGCTCAGAGATGGAAGTAGGTCAGCAGCAGAGTATTTTAGACTGAGAGAGGGAGGAGGAGGGACGAGTTACTGCTGGACATTAGTCTGCCGTCCTCCAACACCGATGGTTTCACCTCCTGTCATCAAAAACCTCGTCTTTTACTGCTCCCAGAAAAACATCTGCATTCCCTCCTTCTTTTACTTGCCTGATGATAATAACAATTGCTGTTTTTCACATTGAAAGTTGAAAATGCATATTTGAAATAGTAATAAATAAAAAGAAAAGCAAGTGTTTTAACTGCTGACTTGTCTTTCAGAGGACACAGGTCTCCGTTTTAGCTCTATGTGGGAATGTTGCTGTTAGGAAGTTTTGGTTGAGCTGCTGAGACACTTCTCACGTCCCACACCGTGGATTTTACTCCAGGCTGCAGCTTAGCCAAAGTGTAGTGTTTTCCAGGGATCCAAACTAATGCCGGGATTTTCAGTGACGGCAGGATAAACAGATTCCGCTGCATTATGAAACATCCAGGTCATCTGGATTCAGACACCAGGACGACTTCACCGCACAAAACTGAACCGGATCACTTTGTATGAGTGGAGACCCGACTGTAAACAGTCGTGCTCATCCTTTTGATCCATTGACTCCTTTTCCAGCTAGCTTGAAGTTTGCAGGCTGATGTCAATTTAATGCAGGTCGAGTTAGCATTCAAGCTAGGTTGGTGTGCTAAGCCGATTCAGGCATCTGCATCAGAACGTGTGTGGGAATGTGGCGCATTCACAAGGTGAGCTCTTACATGGAGCCCCAGGTCGAGGGAGATTATTAGTGAACTTGTGTTTGTTCCATTTTCTAATAATTATTCCAAAAGGTGCTCTTTTCTCACCAAGCTGCTTGCCTATTGTAGAGTGGCTCGTCCCAGTCTTGGCAAGTCTAATCTTGTCCCTGATGTCCTTAGAGAGCTTCCTTAACGAGGTAATGGTTCCTTGTTCGCGTTCTCCATGCAGCAGCTTTACTGAACCCTCATGAGTCCAGCTGAGGCGATCCAGCAGATCCAGAACGAGTCTTTAACAGCTCCGATCAGACTGGTGAGAACAGGGACAGATCTGATCCCAGTTCTTCACACACATCAGTTTATATTGGCATAAAAACAAAACAAGGCAGAAAGAGCCGTGTGATGCCTTGTGTCCATGGTAACGAGTTGTAGCTAAGTCTCACTCTGCAGTTAAATCAGCTGTTTTACTGAAGATCAGAGCAGAATGTTCCAGTACAAATGAGCTGTCTGTTTCACACCTACTCACCCATCAACGCCAGGAATGAGAAACGTGCTGAAAAGCTTTTGAAATCTTTAATTCTCAGTTCACCATTATGACATACTGTCATGGTCTGTGTCTGCGTCTCACCTCATGTGTCTCCTGGTGTTCCCCATTTGCCCTCTAGGTTTCCCTCCTCAGACTTCCCTCTCCCAGGTCCTGTGCCCTCTTGGCCCCCTCTTAGCCACGCCCCTGTAGTTTGTTTCTGTAGTGTTTTCCTTTAGTGTCAGCTTCCCCTTAGAATATTAGTTATGGTTCATGCCTTCTGGTCTTTTGTTTTTCTCTTAGGTCATTTCCCTTTGTTACGGCCTTTCATTATTTAGGCCCTGTCCACACGTAGCCGGGGATCTGCCAAAACGCAGATATTTTTCTACGTTTTGGCCTGACATCCACACGAAAACTGAGTTTTTTTACACGAAAACGGATCTTTTTAAAAACTCCGGCCAAAGTGAAGATCTGCGTTTTCTCCGTTTTGGGTGTCTGCGTGTGGACAGACAAAATCGGAGTTTTAAGGTCCGCAACGTCACTTTCTGCGACAAAAAATGCTGACATCACATCTGCGACCTGTGTTTACACTAGCCGACAGCATGGATGCCCTCAGAGCTGCGCTCGCCTTATCAATTGTCCAAGCGCTTTTTGCTTGTTTGTTTTTGCAAGCGGAATTACTGCTCCTTGCGGAAGACCACAGACGAAGGACGAGGTTAAGAACGGGGGAAGTACTGCCGCCTACAGGTCTGGCATGTCCTTAACAACGTATTTATCCGGGTACGTGTGGACAGAGTTTTTAAACGAGGTGGTGTGGATGCAAGGTTTTGGAGGGGCGGATATTCGTTTTTAAAAAACCCGGCTACGTGTGGACTAGGCCTAAGTGTGTGTTTTTCCCTCCAGTGTTTTCTTCCTCCTCCCTGAGTTAGTAATTGTGTTCACCTGGTCCCTCTCCGCACACACGTGCAATTCATCTCCTTCTCATCTTCCCAGTCTATAGAAGCCGTGTCTTGTCTCTGTGTTGTTGGTTCATTGTCTTATGTCAGCGTTGTTTTGTCCCTCCCTACTAGTCTCTAGCTCTCTGCTCAGTAAGTGAGCTTTTGGTTTTTTGTCTGAGTTTAGTTATTAGGTTTTGGCCTCCTTCCCTTTGGATTTTTGGTTATCTTCCTAAATAAAGGATTTTACTTTTGCAACCGCTCCCGCCTCGTGCCATCTGGTGTTGTCTGCATCTTGGGTCCTAACCTCCTCCTAACCTGCAACATGACACATACAGTGCCTCGCTAAAGTATTCACACCTTGAACTTTTACACATTGTGACACCTGCCGTGTGTTGTCAGTGGGGGGGGGGGGGTGGGGGGGTGTCGTTGCGTGCGGAGCACTTCCCTTCCGTGTGTGTGGGCTTCTCATAGGCGTGGCGCTGGAAGTTCATGCCTGAGTCTTTGTAGGGGAAACGCTGCATGCGCGGCTGCATGATTTTAGGAAAACCTGTGATATGCGATAACAGCGATTAATATTGCAATGATGATATGACTCCTAAAAACAATGAGAGATGCAGTAAAAACATTCTTGTTCACTCTTTTGCAGCAAGCTTACTTATCATTTTGAAAGTTATGTAAAAGGATGTAATCTTATTCAGATAACCATCTTTTATTTAAGGTAGTTTAGTCCTCGTAATGAACTATAAGTTCTGTGAACTTGGAAATATTTGCTCTTGACTGCCTAAGGGTAACAGAATATTTCAGGGGAACATAATTTGCCACAACAACCGTTTCACATGGATCACGGTGCCTCGATGTAAACAAACTGGCTGCCGCTACCAGCTAATGGATATGGAGCGATCACTGGCTGATCGTTAACCACGGCTGGTGAAGGAGTGTTGGTGAGCCGGGACACGCTGGAGATCAAGTAAACAATGTTGACTTATCCACCAGCTAATCGTGGCTCATGGCTGGCGTGGTGGAGATGGGAGTTACGAGCTACTAGTTAGCCATGGCTAGAGCCGGGGAGACGCTGTGCATGCTGCGGGTAAACTCCCACGGATTACCAGCCAAAGGAGACCCAAGTCTAAAGATAACGTTTGGGAAGAAGCCCTCTGAGTCGGAGCGTCTCAGTAACGCGTGGAGAACTACATCGCTGTTAGTAAAGTGTTGTGGAGATCAAATATACAACGCTGATTTAGCCACTGGCTAGCGGACGAGCGCTGGAGCGTGTTGGGCGAGACGGCAGGCTGCAGGAAGAGAGGAGACTTGAGTAGAAGGACTTTAGAACGGACACGTTGGGACCGGGTCGGGAGTTCTGGTACCGAGAAAAGATGGATGAACAACTTGAGGTGAGTTTGGGAGTCAGAGACACTAATCCGAGGCTGGCGTCCAGCTAATAGCTAGCGGGGGTCTGAACATATGCAGCTTCCTTGTGTTGGACATGATGAGGAACTGACAAATTTTATATGTCTTTTGATTTAATTATTATTCAAACTAACAACTACAGAAACTGTGTAGCTATTCTTTCCTATTTCTTAGTTGAATTAGCAGACTCCATGCTTCCAGGGCGCACTGCTGCCCTCTGCTGGTTCTTTCAGGTTACAGTCACAGTCCAAACGGGTAACGTGGAGCTCGTATGTCCCTAAACAGCTACTGTATGTTAAGACGGTGGATGACCATGGAGCGTCGACCACAGTTTGTGTATAAAAATGTATAATTTCAAGTTGAGAGGAATATTTAGAATACCGTAGATGTTGGTGAGAAATATTAGTGAAAAAGGACAAGTTTGTGAACTGGAAACACAGGATTTATAGTAAACTGGTAAAAATATCACACACTGGACCTTTAAACAAATAAAAATCAGGAAAAGTGTGGCACACTTGCATGTGTGTGGTTCTGTTGTCATTGGGAAACGTTTAGGTGATGGAGTTATTTTCTGGGAACACAGCTAAGCGTGTGTGTGTGTGTGTGTGCGCGCGCGCGCATCATATTTAGACCTGCTGTCCTCCCTGTGTATGATTGCTCAGGAAGCTTTGTTTCCATTCTCACCATCACTCAGGAACAGGAACTCCATAACGTGACTTTCTGCTTCACTAAACACCTGATTAGTTTAGTTGAATGGTTTTTAACCTCCACCGACAGCGACTGAACCAACACTCATTTCCTTACGGTGCGGCTGCCAGCTGTTTTCATCTGGGAAAAGTTCGACCAATCAGAAACCAGCAGGATTTAACCTCAGTGTTTGTTAATTTGTTAGGATTTCTTCTGACCACCCTGGAACCCCACAGCCCATAACCGAGTTCGACCTCTGATTTGGACTTTTAAAAGGGTCGCATAAAATATTGTCAACAAAAACAACAAATGCTATTTGGATGGGTTTGTTCAGCATGCTTTATTTTGTCATGCCTTCTAAATGATTCTCACTTGGGATGTGAATCTCCACCACTGAGACGCCACCAACGATATGATACGTAACGACGTGGTGAAAGCGTCTGTCGATACGATTCCCTCCTGCTGACGATCCATTCATGATTTGACAATTTTTAATTTGAAACAATTCACGATGCGATTTGAAATGATTCAACACGAAGAAGCGACAAGCTCACGTCTGGTTTTTAAACATCGTCGCAATTATTTTATCCTCTGTTGTTTTTGAGTCATCAGTAAGGTCAACATGAATAGACGATGCACTTCATCAGCGAGGTTTATGTATTACACGTTTTTAACTCTACAATCATCTGTTGAAGGGTTAGGATTACACACACGGTGAGGTTTAGATGGCCACTCTGCTCAGAAAAAGGAACCAATCAAGTCAGAAAATTATTAGAGTTCATCATCATCATCAGGAATTGTTATGAATCATCGTAGCTTCAGGTGTGCAGATCAGTTAAGCTCCTCTAAAGAGTGCAGAAACCAGAGACCTTGTCACATGACTGACAACAATGTGTAGCTTCTGGGGTTTTTTAGGAAGGTTTTTATTTTATTTTGGCAAGTTGAGACAGGAAGCTTGCACGTTATTTAATTTGTCCACCGACGATTGGTTTTGCAGCTGCAGCTGCGCACCTTCTGGATTCCAGTAAACTGATGGTGAGTTCAATGTGCCTCAAAAAAACCAGGACAAAGCAGGTACACTATGATGTAATCAATGTAATCATGGTTTTTACCAATGTTACAAACAGACAGATCTCTAAGAAACATGGAGGTTTATAGGAAACTTTGGGTCATGTGACCTGGTGAATGTTTTTAATATTTCCAGCATCTCTTCATGTTTCCTAATGACTCCATGTATCCGCTTTGTTGGGCTTTAAGCGTTTGGACCTGCACCTGGTCTGGTCCTGGTCTCACGGCAACACCTGGGCTTCCTGCCAGGACCTGCTGGTCCTGCTCTTTAGGAGTCTGACTGAACGGTTTCACGTTTCAGTGAAATAAAACCAGTTGTTCCCAGAAGGTCAGCTGGTCTCCGTAGTTAGGAATCCTGGTAGAGGTGTCAGCCTCCTGGGACTTAGCCCGTCCAACGCTTCACCCAGTCCAGAGTTAACACTGATGGCGAGTCAGGTAATGGGTTTATGAATCCATTATTCTAAATTGTCCTCGAAAGCATAGAATCAAGGCTTTTATTTCCAACTTTGGGGGATCTCAGGTAGTTCTAAGCTGGAAGTTCACTCTGAGCTCAAATCTGAGCTTCTGTTGTCTCCAGGATGTTTCATCTGCTTCTGCTGGTGTTGATAGAAGGAACTTCCTGCTTCTGAGTGAACTGTAGTGACCTCTAAGAGTTCACTACAGTTCACTGTTTTTGTTGAAGAGGTCCTGAGGAGCTGTTCTTCTGCCACCTACTGGTCATCAGAAGCATCACGCTGTATTTTGAGCCAAATGAGGGTCATGAGAGCTTGAGATGTCAGCTATGAATTAGGCTTTAAACTGGTTTTTATCCATCACATAAAGAAAAATTCTAACAAATCTGCTTGATGCAGTTGGTAGCTCGACTGCCTGGGAAGAAAAAGGTTGCAGGTTCAAATTCCAGTGCCAGCTTTTCCGAAAAACAGCAGCTAGACTCAGAGTTTTCTCTTATCCAGCCCCGCTGGACGGAGAACCTGAACATGGTTCTGATCCAACATCTTGTTTTCTGTTCCAGTTCTGTGTGGAGCTGAATCAGGGAACACTTTCCAGTGTGCGGAAGTGGAAATGGCCCCGAGGTCTGTGGAAAAGTGTTGTGTCTGAAACCCCCACTGGACCCTCAGCGAAGGTAGGGTAAACAACCCGTATTTGTATAGCGCCTTGCTAGGGTTCTACAACCTCTCAAGGCGCTGCACAACACAATCAGTCATTCACACGCTGGTGGGGGTGAGCTACGATGTAGCTACAGCTGCCCCACTGACAGAGGAGACGCCTGACATACACACGCACCACCGGTCCCTCCGACCACTGGTCAGAACCGGGATCAACTACCTCGTGAGCTGTGTGTGTGTGTGTGTGTGTGTGAGTGTGTGTGTGTGTGTGTGTGTGTGTGTGTGTGTGTGTGTGTGTGTGTGTGTGTGTGTGTGTGTGTGTGTGTGTGTGTGTGTGTGTGTGTGTGTGTGTGTGTTCTACAGCACAGCAGAGGCATGATGGTGTTTTTGTGGGTAAATTTAGGGTTAGGGAAGCTGCTTTTTTGGAGAACCCGTTTGAGAACAGTTGCTTCAAACATCCGGTTTATGTTCTAGGATGTTCTCTGGAGTTCAGCCTGATGTTTTCAACCCAATTTATGTAAATAATTAATCAAAAAATGTTCATTAGTGAAAGCCAGTGACATCAGACTCTTATTCCCACAATCCTCTGTTCACAGGGAGGAAGCTACTCCGGCTTCCTGTGGGACAGCTCAGCAGGTATAGACCTAAAGGAAGCGAGGATCGTGGAGTCTACAGTTGTCAGCGGCAACAGGAATCACTCCTACCCTCCGCTGTACCTGGCTCGTTTCTCAGTAAGTTCATAAAAACAGGTGAACCGGGTTCAGGTCTATGAGACGGAGAACGTTTCCTCCTGTCAGAAGTCCTCTGGACACGGTCCAGTCAGGACACATCTGGGACGGCTCCACAGATGAGTCGTAGTGTTTGGGCTGATCAAAATCCACTAGAAGGAAATGTAATGATTCACCAGCATTCCCAGTTCTGGGAAGACGAGGCTGTTCTACTCCATCAGAACCAGAAATGCTTAACCCTCCCACTGTCTTTATGGGTGACCCCGCGAGGAAAGTTGACCATTGAGCAGGGTTGATGGTTTATCCCTTGAGGTCCACGTGGCAGGGGTGAGGAGTGAGCACCACCTCACCCCTGCCACGTGGACCTCAAGGGATAAACCATCAACCCTGCTCAATGGTCAACTTTCCTCGCGGGGTCACACCCATTAGGACAGTGGGAGGGTCAAAAACACAACTAGCATAATTAGTTCATGTCCTGTTTTCGGCTGATCGAAGTTTGGGTCACCAGCTTCTCCTAGAGGCCTAGTCCTGACGGTCCTGACGCAGAACGGGAGGGACTGACCTGAACCACCTCAGCTGGCTCTTCAGAATGTGAAAGAGCAGCGTTTGCACACACACACACACACACACACACACACACACGCACACGCACACGCACACGCACACACACACACACACACACACACACACACACACACACACACACACACCAGCCGCGACAGCCCTCTTGAATTAGGTTTTCTCATGTAGATATTTCCAAATGAGAGTCCCGGTAACTCCGGTGGATCAGGAGATGATTCACACCCCTCCCAGCTGGATTTGTCGAGTTTATGATGGGATTTTTCCCACCAGGTTGATGCAGTGGAGCTGACGGTGGTGAATGTCCACATGCATACATCAGCCTCAGCAGGAGAGTCTGGCTGTAAAAAACACTCCTCTGAGGGAGCTAAGTGTCAGTGCCTCCCTTCTAGCATCCAGGAGACCATCAGAGGTGAGTCTGTCAGCCGAAACATGGATCTTCCATCAACTTAAACACTTTGGACATCTTGTCTTCTCTGTTTTCCACCCTCTCCACTGCAGGTGAGAAGGAGTTGGTAGTTTTGGGAGACTTTGGCTCTTCTCCTCAGAGCTCTGAGTTCGATGTCCTGAGAAAGGAGAAGCTCTGTGCCCTGGTACCATCTACCCAGTCCACCAACATCAGCACCTGCTCCCCCCAGGGCACCCACTGCCTGGACAACATCTGGCTCAGCCGCTCCCTCAAGAAGATCTACTCAGGTTTGTGCCTGGTCCAGTGGAGCTCATGCTGCCACACTGGGAACTTTGGATTTAGAAAGTCACTTCCAAGAAACCAGGCATCATATGAGTCAGAAAGATTCTGTTTAGGAGGCTCAGATGCTGGGTTGACACGGACAAGAAGTACGACTCAGAATGAAGAAGTCGTGAGGCTGGTGTTCATTACAAACTCATCAAACTAATGTTGAGCCTTGGGACATTAGGACACAAAATCGGAATTTAAACGTTTAAAACAAAATCCAAACTATTAGCTTGTAAAAATGTGTGTTTAAAATGACTACAAGTGACAAGTTGCATAGATGATGTCACCCATGGACGTAGCTTTTGGGGGGATAGGGGGACCCCCCCCCCCCCCCCCCCCCCCCACACACACACACGTTTTCCAAAGTCAATTTTTGTCCCTTGCACTTTATACTGTCCAAAAACAACATTACGATATATTAACCCTCCCACTGTCTTTATGGGTGACCCCATGAGGAAAGTTGACCATAGAGCAGGATTGATGGTTTAAACCTTGAGGTCCACATGGCAGGGGTGAGGTGGTGCTCACCAAATGTACAGTCCATGGCACACATCTAACGGGATCAGAAAATACCTTTCATGCATTCATAGACTCCCATTCCCATAGATCCATGGACCAGAAGTAGATGGGCATGACTTAGGCTTTCTAACCCTTAAAGTGTGTAGTTTTTACCGTTAATCTCTGGAAATATCCATCGAAATGTTGTTAAAAGTTAATTAAATGATGCCCAATACTTGGGAGCGGGTCTAAGGCCAAATCACAATACTCACTCTTCCACCCTTGCACTCTTCAATTGTGCAAACTCGTCCAGGGGTGCAAGTGCATAGGGTGTCCTGATTCTCAAGTGCAGAAGTTGATCGTGCCCCTTTTGCACCCTTGATCAGTACTTCGCCCAAGTCCTTTTTTTAGAAAGGTAGCACAGCGACCGGCATTCCAGCATGCGATACAGTCGATGACGCAATGCTCCCTTTCACAACTCGTCAGTTTGTTTGCACACGTGTTCTACGCACTCGTCTCGAAGCCTTACTGTGCACTTCCTCCAAATGCACTTGGCTGAGGACTGTAGGGCGTAGTGAGAGTACTGGGATTGGGTCTAAAGCCTAATTTATACTTCTCCGTCTGCGTTGGGGTGGACACACGCAACGCCATTATCCGTCCTTTCGAGGACTGTCCAGCGGGCTTGCAAGGACGGACAGAGCTGAGCTCTCTTTTCTAAACATCCGTCCAACGAGACGGAGAAGACAAGCTTGTAATTGGTCAGGATGCCACTTTCATCAACGGCGTCGCCATTACATCCTCAAAAACAGAGAGAAGAAGATATCTAGCAGCTTGAATACCTCGTGGACAAACTCTAAAAATATGAGTGTTTCATTCCCCCGTAATGGGAGGAGTAAGATTGGCAGCGATCGTTTAATTCGTGGAGGGAAAGGACTGGAAACGTGGGTTTTGAGATGGCGAGCGACTGAGGGACAAATCTGTCCGTGTTAAAAAGTCTCTGAAATACAAAAAACACAATAGTAATAATATCTTGGACTGGATAGATGACAGGATACCCTAGAACAGCGCTACGCCCTCTGTTGTCCAGGTGGGGAATTGCTTTGCCACACTCCCCAGGAGACGGAGAAGTCCGAGAGGGAAACATCTCTGTCAGTGTGTGCGTGTCTCTTGCTTGTGGAGCTGACGGAGAAGTATAAATTAGGCTTAAGTCTCTGGGCAACGACATGAGATGCCATGTTTCCTTGTATGCAGGGGCGTGTCCAGGGAGTGGCCTGGGGTAGCACATGCCACCCTTAGAATCTGATTGGCCACCCCAGGTGCCACCCTACTAAGTTCCAGTTTAAATTGACTTTACATTGTCGACAAAAGGCTTGAGTTGTAAACTCCAAAAATAGTGTGTGGTAGCATGCACCTTTAACATTGTCTTCTAGCCCAGGCCTACAGAACATTGCTGTAGTATTAATATTTTTATTGTTTGTTTTTTTTCATAGTCACAGAAATAGTATTTAGGGCCGCACTCAACTCCAGTTGGTGGTAATAATGCAACAAGAAGTGACTTGCTTACCACCACAAAACTAGAAGAGGAATAGAAAAAAATGGTGATTGTGCAATGTGAAACTCCAATATTCACTGGAAAGTAAATTAATAAATAAACAGTTTGTATAAATAAATAAAGAAGCATAACCAGTGGTGGACGTAATTTTGGGGGGGGGACAGGGGGGACATGCCCCCCCCACTTTTTCCAAAGTCAAGTTTTGACCCCTGCACTTTTTACCATCCAAAAACAATATTACGCTATATTAAATTGACACTGGATGAGCTCTAGGACCAAGCGGAAAACAACCGTTTGTGTTGAAGCCTGTTTCCCATTAGAGCATACTGTAAAGACCCCCCCCCCCCCCGTGTCCCCCCCACTTCTAAAGTGAAAATTACGTCCATGGGTGCCACCCATGCATAAACAAGTGCCCCACATGGGCCACCCCATTTTAAAAGTCCTGGACACGGCTCTGCTTGTATGGGAGCCTGTGAGGACAAAACACATTTACTTATTAGTAACAAACAGTTAAAAAACTTTCACCATTCATAAATGTTGTTTCACACATTGACCTCGTCGCTCGTTGCCAGTGATGTATTTGTCATTTTGCTGGAGGTTGTGCTCCCAGGGATTTCTGACCCTAAAGGCTATTCGTTGGTAAGGTTTTACTCAAACACCTAAATACCGCTTTCTTCAAATTATTTTGGTATGTACTGCCCCCTATTGCCAGACAAAATACACATTATCACTTTAAAGAGTTTTTTTTATTTTATTTTAGTGTTGTTTTAAAGTGGATGGCTAACAGGAACGTGGGTGCCAGTAAAACTTCTGACAGCCTGGAGAAGATTTGTTCAGAACACTTTAAAATCCAACAACAACATCAAAAATCAACCAATGAGAGGTCCTGTGTTGTGTTTTAATCCTTTGGTTTGTCCTCTTCTGACAGGTCACTGCATGGTGGTGAGGGAGGGCCTGACTAATCCTTGGATCCCAGATAACTGGTCCTGGGGTGGTGTAGCATCAGATCACTGCCCTGTAGTGGCTGAATTTTACATTGCTCCATCGTTCAAGGAGTTGAGCAGACCCAGCATGGCAGCGGTGGACCGAGACGTTCAGCCCAAACATGAGCGATGACAGCAGCCACGGCCACGTGGGACTCGGAGCTATCAGGATCCTGCCCAGCGGTTTGCCTCGTGAATGTGAAGAAGTGCCAAAAATGTAAATGCTGAATGCAGAAAAGAAACTGATGAGTCAGTAAGCCATAAAACACACATGTACTTTAAGAAGAAATGTGCTAAACATTTTCTATATGTATATAAAATAAAGAGATATTATGAAGTGTTTCCTGCATGTCTACTCTGGTTCATGTGGGTGAGTTGGGCTTTTGTTGTTTTTTAGGTCGACTGATCAGGCGGTTTACTCTGTAATCTCAGGGCTACCAACTTTGTAAATAGTCTTGGAGAGAGATTTTCTTTATTTTAATTTTTATTTCTGTGCATTAGTAGGAGGGGGCACAAGGACCCTTAGGTTAGCAAAAGGACATTTTAGTCTGGCGGAGAAGAAAAAAAAAAGTAATATTAAGACTGATTTAAATTTTCAGAGGAAAAATAGATTCTTAATCACAGTTCACTGTTTTAACAAAACACAATGCTAATTATGAGCCAAACATCAGGAAATGTGAAATACTATTTGTATGTACTGTAAGAGCAAGTCATTCAAAATCTACCTTTTTTTGCTGATGAATCATATAAATGAGTGTCGCTGTAGACAAGTGTAGTCAGTAATTCAGCACTTAAGTGCCTCTTAGTTGAAATTTAAACATTCTGCCTGAAACTGTCAGTGTTGCACCGTCGTCAGGTAAAACTCAACACTGCATTTGAATTAAAATCGGCTAAGAGGTACACTAGGATGTTAGATGCTGTGTGTCCTGTTGAGCTTTATGAATGAGGCCTTTAGTAACAGCTTCTCTCCAGCAGAGGGTGGAACGTCTGTACTCTCAATAGCCAGATACTGAAGGATTGAGTTTTCGTGTTTCTGTGCAGTTGACTTGAAAAAAAAAAACATAACAAACATATAAATCCCTTAGAGAAAAGTATGAAATATTGATCAAATCAAAAAGATTACAAGTAATTACATTGTAGCGAAATGAATGGCCTCATATTTATGACCCACGGGTCACACTTCCCCAGCTGGGTCAAGCTGTAACTTTTGTTCCACAGATTATCCATCAGGAGCCATGAAGTCTGCTAAACATCATCTTTTATCTGTCTGCTGTTCCGTCACAAGATGGACACTTCAAAATTTTTCAAATAATAATTTTAATAAACTGTTTTTACTGTTTATTACAGTCCTATAATAATCATCATATATACCGTAAATCCTCTAATACAGGCCGGGTTTCAATTAAAGGCCGGGTCTCCAATTTTGGCCGGTGTCGGTGTCGGCAGAGGTGAATAATGGCCGGGTGGAATGTGGTAACAACAAGCAAGTACGGGGGGCGGTTGTGTCATCGTCTCACTTTTGATTTGCCAGTGATAGACCGCGAGGGTAACTTTAACCGTGCGGAGATGAAGAGGAGGCGAAAATTTGATATCAAGTTCAAAGAGAACGTGCTGATTATGCTGCAGAACACTCTGGGGAGCAGTAGCAGGGGTTGTATGAACTAGTCGACTTCACTATAGTGACTTTTTTTGCCTGTCGTCGACTAGTCGCTGTCACTTGATAATGACCGGCAAGATGCAGCCCTCGGAAAAGACAGCAGCCTGCTGTCAGCAGGTGACAAGCTCCTGCACTCGGGGGGGGGGGGGGGGGGGGGGGCAACACGCTGTGGCAGAGCGTCGGTACTGACACGCGATCGTTCATGTCGGTTCGTTTCCTTTAATGTTTTCTGTCTTTTATTTGCGCCTGATGTGTTTCGCTGCTGTGGAGCGGGGCACATCACCTTGTCCTCCGACGCACCAATCACTGATGCGGCCGCCAAGCAGGGAGCACTCCGCTGTTTTTGCGGTCGGTAGATCTGCCTCCTGAGCATGGCCACAGTAACAATCAGGTGTTGCCACCTCAAAAACTAATTTAACACGTGATTGTTCATGTCTGTTCATTTCCTTTAATGTTTTCTGTCTTTTGTTTGCGCCTGATGCGTTTAGCTGTGGAGCGGGGCGCATCACCTTGTCATCCGGTGACGCACCGATCACTGATGCGGCCGGCAAGCAGCGAGCACTCCGCTGTTTTTGCGGTCGGTAGATCTTTTAGAACTGCAGTTCAAAGGTAACTCATAAGGTGAATATATATGAACCCAGGTAGCAGTTTCTCTTTAGGATTGAGAGGAGATGCAGGAAGATAATAAACAGACAGGACAGAAAAATAGTCAAATAAAAACAAGTTAGTTTTTGTACCTGGTGGTTGCAACAAACAGACACCATTGAAGGTAATCAGCAGAAAATGAAATAATTATTTTAATGTTTAGAGCAGCAGGAACTCTGAGAGGCTGCAGGCGCATCAGTGAGTTTGCGGCCGCTGCCCAGGGGGAGGGTGAGAGGGCTGAAGCAGAAACTACTGTTGTTAAAAGAAATGTGTTTAACTTTGAAAATGTGGGCGTAATTTTAATTGTCAAAAACTCCAGCGAACCATTAGTTCACTTTGCTTAGATAGAAATAGAGGCCTGCCTCTAATTCTGGTCCTCCTTCCAATAAAGGCCTGGAGCTTAATGAGCTTGAGTCAAATACAGGCCCGGGCCTGTATTAGAGGATTTACGGTAATCATCATGGTTCAGTATAAATGTTATTACTGAAATGACTTATTATTCTTTGGGTTAATAATAATTATTATTTATGATAATCAGTGATGTGTGATCAGTAACCAGGTCATTCGCACGTGTACACATCATGCAGAACTGAATCCAGAGTAAAGGTCACCACCTCACATGTCTTTGCTCCATAACAACAAGCTTTCTGTTGCTGAGAGGGCGTGTTCTGAGGTTTTGTTAAAACCAAACTCTCCGCAGCTCAAGTCCAGTTCTTGAACCAAGCAGATACTCTCCGTGGCGATGAGAGTTATCCCAGAGGACGAGGGTCGGCCGCCTGAGCCTCATAAGCTGTTCTGTCACGCCGATAGAACTGCTCTGAATAAACGCACCTGTAACCAGCTGACGCAAAACTCCTTCAGAGTTACTGATTTTGAGACGCTAATAGTTTCATCAGTCGTTGTGACCCGGAGACATCTCAGGACCGATTTGAGTCGCACTAAGGTCCTTCTACCAACCTCGTGCTCGGAGGAAACCATCTCCACCTGACATCTCGGATCCACAGAGGGTCTCCTGAACTGGGTGAGGTAGACATTTTCCGACAGATGGCGTCTGATGCTGTTCTCTCTAAGAAACATCAGTTAGCTGCAAAACAATGTTCTTCACCCAGAACGCGTTTCTCTCTCTGAAAGTAATCTTCTGAGATCATCCACGCATCCAAACCTCGCATTTCATTTTAGTTTTCCATCCAGACACAGATTTGCTTTTAATAACAAGTTTAATATCAAAGCTGTTACAAATTGTCAGTTACAATTGTCATTTCTTTAAATTGTCATTTCAAATTATCATCTTTAAAAATTGTTAGTAATAAATTCTTAACTTTTTAAACCTGACTTTTTGAAATGAAACACAGAAAGGTGTATATTTGGTTATTGAATAAGCAAATAATCCATGAAGTCTTCTGTTTAATAAATAAACCTCTGCTATTAACATCATGAACCACATGGCCCTTTAGACGCAGCAGCAGCAGCAGCAGCAGCAGGGCCCTCATTGTCTCCAGAAAGCACTGAGGAGATGAGACAAGGTGAGCTCACTATACAATTAAGCTATTCAATTTACAAGCAATCGTTAGCACTTCAAGAGGAAATTCAGGCTATTCGCAGTGAGTGGAGTTCCCTGCTTGCTGAGGCCTCTCTAGTAGCACAAGCAATGGAGATCCCAGTTCAGTTTAAGAGGGAAGACAGATGCAAGAGGAAAAGGAAATGCATGCCTGATGAAATGATGACACAAGGAGACATGCCTGAAGAAAGTGCAGATGATGCATTCAGATACAACATATTTTTTGTTGCAATGGATGCCATCATCAGTGACTTGAGTGTAAGGTTTCAGACCACAGCAACCCTATGTGAAACATTTGCCCCTTTTCTGGAGCTGACAGACATGACTGAAGAGCAGATGAAGATATCATGACAGGCACGGATGAGAAAATATTACAAGGATCTCACAGCTGAATTTGAGAATGAGATGCTACACCTGAGAACAATATATGGTGCCACATTCCCACACATTCGGTCTCCTCTTGAGCTGCTTAATGCCATCTACTGTCATGTCCCTGGGAAGGTGTTTAACCCACGACATGAAGAATCATCACAAAACAACGGCAGAAAGTTCAAACACTGATTTATTAAACCTAACTAAAAGTGTCCTGGAGATATCCAAGTTCAATGAAGCCAGAAAGACGTAGGAAAATGGAGGGTCAGCCTGAAGGCGCTCTGTGGGTAGGTCTGACATTTGTTGCTTCTCGGTCCTTCCTCTTAGTTTCCTGCATGTAACACACTTGTGAATAATGCCGCTGATGAGACGTTTCCCTCCAACAATCCACAGACCACTGTCACGAACTGCACCTTCAGTGAAATGCCTGCCCTGGTGCAGTACAGCCTGATGATGATGAGAAACAAGTAAGCTTGCTACATGGCTGCGGCTTGGTATTATTAACGGATGGACTTCACCAGTTTCAAGTTGTCCTCGGCCAATGCGTCCACCTATTCTTAACATACCTTCGCTGTCAAGAATGGGTCGAAGTTTGTACAGAGTACTGGTTTTTGGAAGGTCATGTTTCATTTTGATGCACTTCAGTTCTTCTGAATACATTTCTTCTTGTACACATTTTATGATGATCTGTTCTGCTCTGACAATGTCAACGACTGACAGGCCACTTTTGCACATATGCCATCCAACACACCTTTGATTCTTTGAGGAGTGAGAGAAACACTGAGCAATATGACACAGATGTGCCACAGTCTTAGTGAGTGTGCTCCAGCTAGAAAAACGCCGGAAACGTTTTGAGCCAAGCTTGTCTCTACTAACGTGCGTGGCGAGCGAAGTTACCTCAGGACGTACCTCAGCGTCAGCGTTCACAAGGTCAAATGTTGATCCATTATCGCCACTGGCAGCTACCTTTGGTTGTTTCATTAGGAATGCTGGTCCTGTTAGCCAAGTTGTGTCGGCAAGCTCAGCGGCTGGAACAGAACGTGACCCATGATCAGCCGGATTTAGTTCTGAAGGAATGTAGTTCCACTGCCCAGGTCGTGATGACTGCCT